CTTCAACATGCTTTGACACATTAGTCTGGGGCTTCTCTGTGTCTCCAGCACAGGTCTCCTCTTCTCCTCTGTGTTCTGGTTCTGAATCCTCCTCCCCCTTCTCCCCCACCTCCTTTACCCCCTGACCTTCCGCTGTCTCCCCTGCTGGAGGCTCTTTTTCTGGGTGTTTACTCTCCTCCAGCTCTGGCTCATCTGTCTGGAGGACAAGCAACAAAAAATAGAGTTTAGTTATGCTTGTCATCTACAGTACTTTCCATTTAAAAAATATGACCACTCTACTTTGACCACAAGTGATATGAAAACATATGTATATTTGTTTTTTGTCTCCCATAATGCTCCCCCTAAGATATTTTCTAACATTTTTTCTGATCAATCAAGAGGAGGGATCACTCCCACTCATCATTGTGTCAAAATATAAAGAAATGAACATGGCTGACCCAGAGGGGAAGCACAAAACAGTGCAAAATATATGAATTCATTCTTTAATAATAATTCTTTACTATTGTTTTGGCCACTATTCTGGGAGTGAATGGAGAATTTTAGTGTCCTATGATGTGCAAACTACTACAGACAATTTATGACTAAATTAATTTTGGCATGTCTGTGGTCAACCAATAGATATTTGTATAGCGCCAATTCATAACAGAAGTTATTTCAGGTCACTTTTTCAAATAGAGCAGGTCTAGAACGAACTCCTTTTAACATTTACAGAGACCCAACAGTACCACCATGAGCAAGCACTTGGCGAACGGGGGCAAGGAAAAACTGGCCTTTTAACAGGGCCAGAAACCTCGGACAGACCTTCGGCTCTTTAGGTTGGTGTGGTCTTCTGCCTTGGCCAGTTTTGGGGTCGGAGAGAGAGAGAGACAGCAGACAGAGACGAGAGACAGCAAGACCAGACAGACAGCACAGGTGCACAGCAACCAACCAGTAGCAAGACAACTATAACTTACACTACATAGTGAGTGGACTGATGAATGATGAACATAATAATACTTATAGATAATTAATAACCACTAATATCAGCGACCACCAGGGATCCATGGAACCTGCAAGGACGAGGAAAGCACAAGAACTCCGGGGAGAAGTTAAGTTAGTAAGCATACATTCAATGGGACATGATCGTGGAGTGCAGAAAGATTGAGAGGAGAGAGCTTAGCCAGTGCACCATGGGAAATCCTCCATGTCTCCATAGTCTAGGGCATATAGGCAGCTGTGGAATAAGGGGTGGAGTCCTGAAACCATCCCCTAACTTAAGCTTTATCAAATAGGAACGTCTTAAGCCTACTCGCTTCGTGGCTCCTGTTCTACTTTTAGCAGACTATAGAACCACAAGTAACCCTGCATTCAGAGAATGCAGTGTTCTAGAGGGGTAATAGGGTACTATGAGCTCTTCAAGATAAGAAGGGGCCTGACCATGAAGAGCTTTATAGGTGAGGAGGAGGATTTTAAATTCTATTCGAAATTTTACAGGGAGCCAATGCAGAGAAGCTATGTATATGCATATGTACATGAGTGGAGGCCTGACACATTCTGTTGTAATCTGCTTCTGTTCTACACTGCAGACATCAATTTAAATTTCAGTTTAATTAGTTGTAAGATGAAACAAACAATCTTGTTTGAACTGTTTTAAGAACATGACTTCTGTTTGAAAGGAAACATTATGTAAGATGTACTAAAATTAGTCCACTTTACTCTCGGGATTTCATGGTCTTCAAACTGAAGAGCATAATGTAATGTGAGACCTGAAGCTCTACTCTGGGATTTGTTGAGTATCTCACTTATTTGAATACAGACCGACAGGTTGAACTTTCAGATGGAAAATATTTTTAAATCCCACCTGAACCTAAAATACAGGTCATATCCACATAATCAAAGAACAAAACCCCTTTGGTCCTCTACATTTGAATAACATTAATCAAAATTGTTTATTTTGGCGTAAGTGCTATCAATTAATCTATCTCCTCCTGACAAAATCCAGCGTTCATAATTTTAATTTTAGAGATTCATGTAATAAAACTTG